GCAAATGATTGAGTTCTGTGGGATCACTGGATGGGACCTAGGACCTGCATTTTCTATTTCGGATTACACGATAACACAGTCTCTTTGAACCAGTAACACCCGTGACTATCCATTGAATTGAAAGCAGTCAGGCAGATGTTTCATATGCCAATACTATATATGTTTTCATTGGTGTTTTTTAAAATAATGTTTCCCGTAGTGCTAGACACTTTGCTTCCTTACCAAGATCAATTTAAGGCCAAAATGTGATGTGTTGTGTTTGCTTAGTGCGAAAGAAATAGAGTGCCTTTCTCTACAGTATGTCTGTAGAAATCAACCCTATGTCTTGGAGATTCCTTTGAGGAACAGCCCCCCTTCCCAGCAAGGGGTTAGAGGGTTTGCTAAGCACATTTTTTTTTTTACCCAAATTAAGATAAGCTTGTGCAATAGGATGGCGCATATACTTGCACTCTTTTCCCTGCTTCCTCAGAACTTTTGAACCTACTGACCGGTTTCTACCCCGTTTTTGCAGAAGGGAAGCAGTCACTCATGATACTATGATAAAAGAAGACAAGCTTCTTGTCTTCCTGTAGCTTACTGGCATCTGGGCAGAGGAACAAGGCTCTGGTGTTGCTCACCACCAACGGGTGGTGACTGCTGAGTGACCTCAACATTTTGTAGACACCAGACAGTCCATGTGAAGATGTTAAGGGCAGCCCAGACAGCGCTGCTGGTGACTGCGCTTGGTGAGGTCTCCAGCAATGAGGATGCTTCCCCGGTGCTTTCCAGAAGAAGCAGGAGCAGATCTTGGCCTTGGCCGTGCTTTCTGGCCAGGGCGACCAAGCTGGCGGGCAGGGATGGGTCAGGAACTGCACACTCCAGCTCTGTGCCCACCGCAGCCCCCAGCCCTTCTCCTTCCTCCGGGCTCGTGGTTAGCACAGCATCGAGCTCACCCCAGCCTGACCACAGCCTGTGCCACGTGCCTTCCTTCAGAGCAAAGCCGCAATGTGCTGCTCCTGGTAGCTTTTCTTTGCTCCTCTTTAGGACAAATGGCTCTTCAACAGCTGATATTTAAAAGGGGTTTTTATTGCCAAATCTAGAGCTCTTTACAAGCAGGAGACAAAGTGCTGCCTTTCCACAGGCTGCAGCAGCTGCTTTTCAGAGTCATCCACATTTGCTTGCTTGCAAACTCGCTTCCTTCCTGTCACAGACATGTAACCTGGTGGCACAGCCCAAAATACAGACTCACACCCCAGCACTCCATGCCCAGAGGGTTTTCAGGCACAAAAAAACCCAGCCTTAGTGCAGCCAGAAATTAGATGTAAGTTTAAGTGCAGGTTTAAAGGGAGATTTTTGAAAAAGTGCATGGTGGCAGGATGTACACTGAAGACGGGAATTGCTGTAGGAGGTCAGAGCAGACCAGGATCCTGTCTCTGACTCTGACCAGCATTGCTATTTTCAGAGGAGCATGTAAAAACACCCCAGAAGGCAGCTTCCAGCCCTAGGCAGGGCCTAGCTCATGACCAGAATAAGAAGAACAAGTGGGAAAACTGCAGAAGGAACGTGATGCGTCGTTTCTTGTAAAGTCCAGGTGAATCAGGCTTACAGCCAGGCTAGACATTTTAGGATGAACAGCTAACCCTATTAGAAAAAATAGTTAAAACCAAAGTCTCTAACATAGCATTTTCAGCAGTAGAATTACTGGGTGCTACGGAGATTCCACTTAAGTTACACCTATTTACAAGACAATATAAATCTAGTAAGTTCTGTTAGTACAGCAAATACATTAATTAGCCGTAGCTTCTAAAATGATTTAGCTTGCCCATTTCTTAACAGATATAGGGGGTTTTGTCTGTTAAGATTCCTACTGATGGATATTCAGTAAAATGTCAGACATTTATTCATTAGAATATTCAGTATAATATAAAAATATACAGTAAATATAAGCACATCCTGCAGGTTTGGCTGTAACAGATAGGGATGTCTGGGTGTTTTCATCAGCGCTTTGCCAGACGGGTATCCACAGAACACAGCACCACAAGAAAACACCTGCGAGAGCAAAAGCATTTGTATATAAACTAGGGGACTGAGCTCTCCCATAAGCTGTTTCCATTCTCCTGGGCTTTCAGTTCCAAGCTATGATTTGCCCATCCTGGAGTTTAGGACTGGCTTCAGCTTTGGGATATGAACCTGCACCCAGAATTTGCCCTGGTCTGTGTATACTCCTGTTAGTGTGAACTGGTTTTCCCCATCTAATTTATCTCTTGTTATAGAACTGCATCTTGCAAAAGCCTGCCTGCTCTCTGAAGCTGATGTCCCTTGACTTCCAGTGCACACCAGGTTCTGACAGCTCACATTCATACCACACAGTGTTCGGTAAACAAAAGTGCACATGCAGAAAAACACATTTAGATACCAGATAGGCACTGAATATTGTCTGTGTTGTTAGCCCTTGTCCTGAATAGGTCTGGAAAGGTGAATAAGACCCATGGTTCACATTGAATCTACAGCAGCAAATGACACAGACCCAGAGTTTGCTCCAGGCTGTGTGCCTGGGAGTGGGCTTAGGATGTAGGAATCGTTTTTGTCTCAAAGCAAAGCTTTTTTGGCACCTGAGCCCTGAGTGTTTGACTCTGTAGAACGTTCCACGTGAGAGAACAACAAGTGAATTCCCATGCGATGTCTATGGCTGTCTTGTGAGGGGGACAGACCACTGAAACCAAGGCTGGTTTAATCAAAAAAAGGCAGAAGCATCAGTTCTAGTCACTACCTGTCTTGCTGGCTCTGGGTGGTGAAAACCAGGATATTTGGAAGCCCAAGGCCAACATTCCTGCGCTCAGACCTGAAATGCCCACTGCCTAGCCTAAGAAGGCTTGGGTGAAGCTTTTACTGGGCTGCTGCGGCGGGGGGGTGTGGTGTGGTGTGTTTTTGCAGCCCACTGCAGCCTTGTGGAATGAAATCATAAAACAAAGAACAGAAGACAAAGAAATGGGTGAGCTAAGAGTTGTGCTGGCAAACGAGAGAAAAAAGCTTAGGTAGCATGTCACTCCTTAAAACCAGACTGGGGAGATCTGTGCTTCCCTTTTCTGTGCTTCCAGAGTCCAGCTCAAGCAAAGGAGAAGCCTTTCAGTCTGTCACACGATTCTCCTCAGAGCAACTACAGACACAAGGGGAGGGGACCCAGCTCAGGTACGGGGCTATACAGCAGCAGTGCAAAGACACGGTTTTATCCCAGCTGTCACCACTAAAGACCACGGGAGCTGTGGCTGCTTTCAGCAGGTGGGCAGGGAAGCCGTGGGAATTGTGCCGGAGCCTTCTGCAATGCCTTCCTCAGACCCTTCTGTAGCGATGCATTTTTATTTTCATATATGTAAGCCACTGGGACCAGCCCCAAAGTTGTGCGTGCAAAATGCCTTTCCCTCCATGTACTCACGATGACACATGTCTGTGCCAAACCATGGCTCTCAGTCTAGCCAGGACACAGCAGGTAGAGACGGTTAAAGAGGAAGAGGGATCTCATCCAGACCCGCTGCCTGATGTGCACGCTCCTGTCAGTTAACATCCCAAGACAACACAAAGAGCGAGCCTACAGCTAAGGGAACACACATCCCTGAAGCTTCTTCATGACAGCTCTCCTAGGAAGCTCCTGGGGATCTCCGGGACACAAGTTCTCTGAATACCTGGCTAATTGTTCCCAATGATGATAAGGGGATTCAGAGTTACCAGATAGGTATGGTCCTCGATAATCAACATGCTGTGCTGCAGAAGACACTCCTTTAAAGGCCAAGTGTAACCTGCTCTTTGCCTCCACTTCCCTGTTAATGAAACTGGAACAATGAATACTTGCCTCACAACGATACGTTGAGACTTGCGTTCGCTTACGCAGTGCTTAGCACACCTAAAGCTCTGCGGAGCCGGACTCGAAATGTGAGGACACTACTTGGAGTCAGGAGTTGGCCCGTTTTGTTTGCCTCTGTGTGAGGTCACTTTTGAACTGTGGATGTGGTTTTAGGAATGTCTTTGGAGAAAATTAAACCATTTGTCTTTACATTCCTAGATGTCACTGGGCCAGGTGGTCTGGGAAACCTTGCCAGCAAGTGAGCAAACACTGACTACATTTATCCTTAAATGATTTAACTGGGAAAACCAGATAGGTGCCAGTGCAACCTGGTATCTCCTTGTCTGGAAATAGATAGACAGGAGATTTGCTAGAAGAGCCATTCTGCTCCTTTCAAAAATCTGTCTTGGCTTGACTACTGGTAATTTTTAAGGCCTGATCCATTGAAAGGACTTTGGACAGAGTCCTTAAAGACCATTCACATTTCTGAAACCGTTCAATGTCCTGTAACCTTCTGCTGTGCTAAGAGGATTAGAACTGGACTGGTATGTACAACACGAAGAAAGAAAGATGCTACAACTGAAAGCTCAATTCTGTCCCATAAACATGGTGTGTGCACAGCAAACCACCGCCTCTTAAACACTGGCCTAGCAATGGTACAAATCATAAATGGCAAATGTTTAGCTTTGATTTTGAGAAAGAAGTCTTTTTGAAGAGAATGTCAGGGAGCACTTCTCCTATAAAGAGTCACTAGATCCTTTTGCTTTTCTTTCTGTTTCTGTGTTGCTTCTTTTTTCAGTTCTCCAAGACCTTTAATTTCTTGCAAAACTTGTGTAGCTTGCCGAAGTTGTTCTACCGCCTCATTGAGCAATGTCTCTGCCATCACTGGGGGTCCGTTCCCCTCCTGGGCCTGTTCCAACCCTTCACGTAAAACCTTCTGCAGAAGTTTTTCTGCCTTTTCCCTTTCATTAGCAACCTTCTCCTCCATTTTAGCTAAGCAGTGATGGGAATCCTTGGGGAAGCCTTGGCTTGGAAGTGCTCTCTGTGTATTTTTGGAATCAGACAGCAAGTCTCCCAGAGAAGAACTGCGAAGTTTGAGACCTGAAGTGCTTTCTACCGATGCTTTCTTCTCGATAGTTGGTTTTACACTCTCGTGGCCTGTTTCTGTAGCTAAGGAAGTCTCTGTCTCTTCTGTTGAAGTTTGCTGTTCCTTCTCGGCAGAGGTTCTCCCATTTCCTTCTTCAGTTTCAGCTGTTGGGGATGTGAACTCTGCTGCCTCGCTGGCTGCAATCCCATTCACTGGGGGCTTGGAGCTGCCAGACTCCAGGTCTTTCCAGCCCCCAGCTTCCAGGTCACCATGGCTCGAGTTCATTGTGGCTAGCATTTTTTCTGACAGAATCTTAGGAGGAACAGGAGGCTTTGTAACATCCGCAGCAGCAATCTCAGCAAGGTTGTCTTTGCTACTATCTCCTGATGATTTCAAGTCTTCTGTGTTTTTAGGCTCAGGGACTGTTTGGTCCCAAGCTACTTTTAGCTTGTCTGGGACGCTCTTAGGAAGAGGAGTTGGAGCTTTTGCTATGCCCTTGTTGCTGACCTCAATGAGGTTCTCTCTGTTCTCCTCACTTGGTGCTTGGGATCCTTCCACCTTCTCCTCTGGCCTTACAGAGTCCTCTTCCTTGGCATTCACATTGTCCTTTGATGCTATGCCTTCCTTAAGCTTCTTATCTGGAGGCAACGGAGGAGATGGAGGTTTTTTATGTTCCTGGTCAAGGACATGGTTCTCTGCATCTTGGTTTTCTTTTGTGCCAGTGGATTTTGTAGGTGGCATAGGTGGCTTTGGAGTTTCTTTCTGAGGTGGCGCATTGTCACTTTCGCTGATAGTGGAGTCAAAGTTTGGCGGTCCATTGTCTACTATATCCAGATCTAGTCGCAGGATGCCATCAGATGTAGACTTGGCAGCCTGAAATACAAGACAGAACTTTTTCAGTATCTATCCTATCATCAATCCTGTGCTCCATCCTTTAACTTAAACTGCAAGACCATGACAACCAGCATGGCAAGCGAGGGGTTGCCGCTTCACACATCCACCCTGTTTTTACTTACATCTGTCAAAACTGCAAGGATAACCTGACTAATAACAAAACCAGTGCTCTTAAAAGCACGAGTTCCAGACATTTCACCCAACAAAGAAGGAAACTGGGTCCAGTCAGATACATTGCAGCAAATGAATGCGTCGAGGGAAGCACTTCCGTCCTCCCGCATAGCCCCGCTTTTTCCCCAGACCAACACATTCTGTGAACGCCAGGAGCATTTTGCTGCCAAGTTATTTTCTGCCTGATAGTGCAGCAACTTGCACAAGAATATCAAAGCAAATAACCACAAGCAGTCAAGAATTAAGACAAAAGCACAGAACTTATTTTACTACTTCCTTTGAGAAGAACGTCTCAAAGCCTGTTCCACAATAACCTCATTTCTTGGTTTTGCTGTCGGTGCTAAGCAGTCAGCTCTGCCATAGTTTAATTCTTTATCCTGTGCTCCTTCAAACCACAGGCTGTGTGCAAATCACCCTAGTAGGGGGGGGGGTTCCTAAAAAGGATGAACTTAGTAAAGACGTTGCAGCGTGTAAGCTCAGTGCCCCAGAGGGAGAAACGTGGTGACAGTTCCTGTGTGAGGGAACCCAAAACCACACGAAGGCGTAGCTGCAGCCAGGGCCAGACTCCTGCAGTGCAGGGAGTTTAGTTAAAGTCTCTCTTTGCTTTTCCAGCCCATCAGAGAGATGGAGGCAAGCTGCATCCTGGCGGCTTGGCCCTGACCCGTCCTCACTTAGCCTGCTTTGACGCTGAAAATCATCGTTCATTCCATTTCCTTCACGATACTGCAGCCAGCAGCCATGATACACATCTTTCTGCAGGCTCTATCCCCTCCCTTTCCCCTCATTCCTGCTTCTGAACTTGTAAGCTAGTTTTCCTTGAATTTGACTGAAGGTGAGAGGCCTTATGGATATTAATGTTGGACGTATCTCTTGAAAATAGTGAGCTGCGTAAGGGAGAGAGATCTTTTTAGTGCCCAGGGAAAGGCTTCCTACCTTACCAAACCCATATTAGGCAACAGAGAATCCACACTTCATTGCTGCTGTGACTTTTGTCATGTTTTCTTCTGCGGTTTTCTGGAGGAGTGGATGGGAATTTATGATTCATTCCCGTGCATTTCGCTAGAAGAGACACTCTCCCTCCGTTTCTATGCAAAGTAAAAAGTCTTGGGACATCTCATTTTCTGCACGAGGGTCATCTGAGTGCTGTGCAGACACATTAGTCAGAGTCTTGGAAGTTTGAAGAAAGAACATTTGATTTAAAAACCTTCCTTGGTTGAGAATAATGCTCTGCTAAAATATCAATCTGTCTGGAAACTTTTTCATAAATCACAGGAATCAAGCATTAGTAAGAACCTCTCCCATGGAAATGAACTGCAGTTTTATTTTGTGGTGTTTTTTCTTTTCTTTTCTTTTTTTGTTTTTTTTTTTTTTTAAAGTGACAGATCCAGAAAATCAGTTAAGAGTAGACAGGCTAGTCCATAAAACTGCCTGGGAGAATAATATATTCTGTTTCAGACCTAAGGAAGAGCTTGTAAGCTTGAAAGCTTGTCTGCTCTTTCCAGTTAGCTTAATAAAATATACAGCTTCTCCCCATAGACCGTGCAGTTCGTCTGCCTTTAGACCACTGCGGCTACAAAATCATCACTTCTTAGAAAATAAATATAGGAGCTTCAGTCTCCTCTGATTAAAATGAAACTATAATGGCTCTCACCAGACGGTGAAGCAGCTTGTGAGTTATGGAAAGCTAAATATATCATAACGTGTTGCAGCAGCTACAGATCCGTGGGAACCTGGAGCTTCGTTAGAGAGGTGCTGGCGCAGTCTTTCCCAGAGGAAGCTGTTTCCCTTGACAGCCTTCTCTGGGCTCTCTGTACCCAGGGTTTTCCCCGGGGTTTTGTACCTAATTGGAAGGAGCAGCTCTTGGTGATCCCAGCTGAGGAGATGGCTCAACCCAGGGTGGGTGCACTTACCTCCTTTAGGTGACTTCTCGTGGGTGGCCTGCGCCCGTGGGTCACTTTCACTCTGTCCCGAGTTACGTGGTCCAAGGAAAGGCTCTCGTCTACTTTCACCTTTAAAAGGGGGAACGGGAGGGAAAGAAAAAAGGAAGAGGGTCCTTAATTTCTCAAGATATGTCTACGAAGTTCTCACTGTCACACATGAAAGGATGCAGCATTTGGATGGATATTTCACCACCACAGTCTTTGCTTCAGACTGTGGTTACAGCCTTCCTGCAAAGCCCTGCATCTGCGTGACGGATATTTAAGGTATCTGTCCTACATAGAGCTCCGTTTATCTTAACAGACTCTCCAAAGCAAAGCATCCAACCTTCAGAGGTCTGCGACGGCTAATCTTCCCTCCACCTAAGGGGCCGGGAAGGAATGACACAAGGCAGCTTTGTTGTCGTTGCCGCAGCCCAGGCTTGGACCGGCTCTTGCATGTGGCAGAGCACAGCGCTGAAATTGCTGTTGCCATCTTAGAGGTGAAAGCTCATTAATAACCGTGACCTGACTGTGAACTGTATCAGCAGCACTTCAGTACAGACCTTCCCTTCTACAGTTCTAATGACTGCAGGATGCTGAAGAGAAGGTGTGAGCAGTGACCTGGATTAATTGCAACTCTAGCTGAATTAACAAATTTATTTCCTGGAATCAGATGACAAATCCACTGCCTCCCACACGTGGGGAGGGAGGTCCCAGCCCCCTAGCAGGTATTTCTCTGTGCTGGCTCTGTGACTGCCCACCCACCCACGCTGCGATGGCTGAGGGCTGGAGTCTGCGCCACGCAGAGGGGCAGCACCGGTGACCAGCGATGGTGAAACATCAGCGTGTCCTTGGTTTGATGGCCTTTGCACAACAAGTTTGTACAACAGGGAAGCTGGTGAGGGTGAAATAGGGATTTAAAGGAAAAAATGGGTCCCAATCCCTGGCTGATATGGCAGAGTGGTTTTACAGTGGAGAACAGTTAATCCATGCCAGCTGAGGGCTTGACCCATTAGCTTGTGCCTAGCCAGCGCAGAAACACTTTAAATCTGAGGTCTGATCCTTACTGGAATGAATGAGAATTAGAGGCTGGCTCCCTCTGCGAACCCGGGTCCTCATAAGGAGGATAACTCCAGGCCACAGGGCAGCGAGGTGATGTGAGATCCCACCTTGCTGTGCTGCCGAGGGGGTGCAGCGGTCACTGCCCACCGGAGAGCCACGTGCCGTGCCCCTCCAGGCAGCTCCGAGCCGGCGTGGGGTCGCTCCAGCAAGGGCTGCGCAGCGTTGTGTTACAGGACATCACATCTCCCACCCACTGAAACACGAGGGCAGACCTGGCGACTAAGCTCTCTGCTGCTGGCTTTTATCTTCTCAGGCTGCTGCTGGTCCCAGCTGCTCCCTTTAATTCCACATGCTGCTTCCCACTTGGTCCAAGGGCTCGAGGAACCGCTACATCCCACTACCAGCAAAACCCTGACATGAGTGCCATTTGCCTAGGTGAAAAAGCAGCGTGTTCCAGCCTCTCCTCCTGCTTTTGCCCTCTGCTGCTTAAAAGCAAAGGCCAAGCTCTCGGAGTTTGCATCTCCAGCACCGTATCTGCAGCGCTTAGCCCTTGTCTCAAAACTTTTACTCATTGCTTTGGTTTCCTTTGCTAAACAGATCTTGCTGATTGCTTCGTCCCCTCGTTACCCTGCCCATTTCTTCTTGTGTCATCCCGGTGATGGTGGTTTTTGTGCACTTCCTTTCAGTTACTGAAACAATGGCAGAATAGATGCTGCTCCTTTGTTTTAGTCCACAGCTCATTTACAAGCTTAACAGGGAGCAGGGCAAGGTTAGTCAGGTTCTAAGATGTGCAATTTTCATCCTTCCCTCTGTGCAGCAGGATGGAAGGAGAATTTGGCAGTGCAAGTGTGCTGGGGCCAGCTGAGAGGCCAGCAGGTTTGTCCGGGGCTATGGAGTAACTTTCCACCAGACTTCTCTCCAGACTGCAGGTGGAATAACTGGTGGACTGAGTCACTTCAGATATTGCCAGTCTTGAAGACTGGACTATGTCCTAACCGCATACCTCCATTTCCAAGCTGCTTGGTGCTGAGGATCATGGCAGCATGGGGAAGATGAGTCTCTCGAGGCTGCAGCCCCAGCTCTACACAACTCAGCGCTGCAGCTGCTTCTCTGCATCAGCTGCTTCCATCAGGAGAGGGCAACACCCCTGCATTTGCTGATCCCAAACCCACTGAAGCCACCAGACCATCTCCCACTGACTTTGGTGAGCTCTTGTGTCCCATGGGCCTCTTGAGGAGATGTTAGCTCTTAGCAGCACAGACCATCCCTCCAGCGCACTGTCTACTCAAGCAGCTGCCCCTGCCTCCCTGCAACTAAACCCAGCCAGGAGAGAGGGAAAGGCAGCAAGACGCAGGATGGTGCCAAGGGCTCTCTACATGTTCTGCCTTCTTGGGCTGGGAACCAAAGTGGCTAAAAGCTCCCAGCTTGCAGGGGTGACACCTGCTTTGCCTTGACTACCATCCTTCTCTTTCCTTTGACCATGCCTGGCATGCAGGAAGGAGAGGGAGCACGGGGACTTGGGCAAGTTCTGCTTTTAGCTAAAAAAGCAGTGGATGGGAACTGACACGGAAATATGGGACTTTGAAAATGGTTTCTTACCTCATCAAATACTTTGTTTTTGCCTCTATTGATCCCTTCATTTAGAGCTTTTATCCATGATTCCTTTTCTTCCAAAGTTGGAGCTTGGAATTTGATATCATGAACCTGCAAGAGCAGAGAGACGGTTTTGCCCAAGCATTGCTTGTCAGGACCAGAGAGGCAGCTCTCTGCTCTCTGTGTATCACTTCAGTTTCTATATAACATCCAGTTCCAGCCTGTGTTTAAACTACAGATTCCTTTGTGCTTTGGCAAGTTCTCCACTTCATAGCTCCCATGAACAGGATTTTGTTATGCTGAACAGCTTGCTGCTGTAGTTTTATTTTTGCAACTAGTAACTAAAGGAGTAAGAAAGTAAGAGTTTTCTGCAAAACACTTGAAATAGCTCTTAGAGCAGCAGCGAGTTCTACGTTGAACGGTCACACTGCGTATAGAGCATCAGGCTGAAAGTCTGAATCATTTTGTGCTGGTTCAGGTGCAATAAAGTTCTTTATCTCCAGCTCCCCTCCTAAGGCTGCAAGCCACGAGAAGGCTGTGTGCAGCGGGCTCTGCCTGCTTCTCTGTTCCTGCGGCTCTGAGAACAGAACTGATACGGGAATCTGGGGCTCCAGCCTTGGCTGCACTAACCCTAATTCAGCTGAGCACGGACATGATGAGGCATAAGGGCAGTGTAAGTGAAAAAATTAACCGTATCTTTTAGGAAGAAGAAACACAGCAGTGAACGCCACAGACATACACTCTCTGGGGTTTGAACCAGTGTCCTAAGGAGAAGCAAGGAGTTGGCCATACAAGAGGGAGCTGGCAAGAAGCATGGGACACAAATAGGGAGGGAGTGACGGGTGATTGTATGGCCTGTCCTCCAGCCAGCCAGCTCTCCCCTTCCTCCAGGGCAGTCCCGTGGCTTTGCTCAGTGTTTCGAATCTCTTCTTGAGCGCAGCAGGAACAACAGGTAGGATGTTATTTATTTCACTGCTGTGTTCTCGGAGCACCTCACCTCTATTATGTAGCTTTGCCCCAACATACACTTCAGGTGAGAGAAATACCATCTTCACATTACAGGTGGCAGACTGGCTTGGATCCAGACAGCTCCACGCGGTGCCCTAATCTGCACTGCACAGGCACACAGAAATACTCTTGTGCTAAAGAACATCATCCAAGTGGCGAAATCAAACACTTACTTAACAATTAGACAATCCCAGCGTTGCTGGGGCAATCCTAACTCAGCCTGCTGTGCATATTCCTCCTAGCACCGTCCCTAATGGGGGCAGCACTTCTTACTGAGCTACTCCATCGTGTGTTTTATCCTCATGGGTCACTATGTCTTATCGATTGCACTCTGCTCAAGCCCTGCCCTGAAAAACAGAATTACTGATTCCCCCGACCAATCTTTTCTTTGCTGCTTATCACTACAATATCTGAGGGCTTCATAAATTACTTTTCAGAGCAACTAAAATTATCCACCTCTTACAGGTGGGGAAGTGAGCTACAGAGAGGCTCATTCAAAACACATACCAGTGGGGTCTCACTTGGAATAGTTTTTTCAGGTATTTGACATCCTATAGGTATTCTGCACCTTCCCGTTGCCTTTGAGAGCAGTTGTGGTCCCGGCCTTTTTGTAAACGAGGCCCCACATTCTGAAATCCCAGCAGTGTCTGTATAGAACAGGGACTATATATAATGAGGGTGACAAAGCTAATGGTAACTGTCAGTGGGATGCTTGTGGCAGCTCCACGTTTTGTTTATGGCACAACAACACAGCAACTGTTTTGGGTCTCAGCAACTTCTGAAGGTACCACCAGAAATTCTGCAGAACTGAAGCCTGATCTCCTTACACCCGCTCCTGCTGTTTAGCTAGAAACGGGCTGCCCTTCCTTTCTCCATTTAGTCCTTGCTTCAATGCCATGATTTTACATCTGCACATCGCAGCAACAAAGTGCCAGACCCTCACAACCAGCATGGCAAGCAGGGAGTTAAGAAGCAATTTGGGGAAAGATTATTTATTCCACTAGTTTGCACATAAGGTGACGGGACCACATGTCTTCCTGAGAGCTCAGAGGAGAGGTTAGGGACTGAACCACAGCCCTCTGGAAAAAGAGCCCTTTGTCTGGGGCGCAGAAGGGCCACACTAACCAGGGAAACCTAAAGGGAGGCACAGCTCCAAAACAGAGCGACAGCCAGATTTTGGGTTAGTCCAAGCAGGTCTGTTTTTTGTATGTGCTTAAAAACTTTTTTTGTTTGGAAACGATTTTGCCCCAAAGCTTTGTGATTATAAAAGCTTATGAGAAAGCTCTACTTGTGAGCAGCTGAGCTGCTGCACTGCCTGGCAAAGACCTGGCAGCCTGCAGCAGAGTTTAGAAATCTCCGTACATGTTGTTCAAGGGAAGGATTCCTGCCTCACTTCAAGCTTCCTCTTCTAATGCCACTTTCTGTGCCTCATTCTTGACAAAAGCCTCTGGCCTCTCGGAGCTCAGACTGTGACTAAGCGCTGGTGTCAGCAACCCTGTGGCAGGGCAGAGCAAAGGCTCTGGGGGATGGCTTATCATTAAGGAGAAGCTGAGATGTCCCTCCGGCATGCAGCCCTCTGCCGCACGGCGTAAGGCCGACCAAGCGCCGCAGCCACCAAACACGGACACCACGGATCGGGGCGGGGGGAAAAGGGACTCGTGGAAAGATGCTCCCAAAGCGGCAGCAGAAAGAGCCCTCCAGTTTCCCAAAGGGCTGGGAGAGGGAGGACAAGCAGCAACGCTGCGTGGGACCCTGCGATGGAGCAACACGGGCAGTGCCAGACGCGTGCCTCTGCTTGCACGAGTCCCCCAGGCTGTGACACAGAGGGGCAGCCTTGAGATTTGCAGCAGGTTCCTCCCAGTATGCCCAGTTTTGTTTGAAAACTTTTTTTCTTCTTTTTAGAACAATACCCAGAGATACCAAGGAGAAGTCAGGCTGCTGGGGCTCGGGATGCTGCCAGCCAGAGTCTCTTTGTTGCCTTGCAATCCCTCGTCCGTCTGCATCCAACTGTGGCTCGCTCGGCCACAGCACTGGCAAGAGGAGGCTAACCCAAAGCAGGGTGGACTCTCTCTATAAAGCAGATGGCTGCAGAGAAGAGGCAGGAAGGAGCTGGAGTAGTTGCTGTCAGTCCTGCTGGCCACTGGGGCTCTGTACACGAGTCTGAGACCCTCAGACCCTCTACAAACAAGAAACAAGTGAATTTATCCTGACTGTATTTTTACAGTTGAGTATTCACAGGTATCAGAGGATGCACCTGAAGATGGATACTCCCCACAAAACGTT